GGCACAACGTCCGGCTTTGACAGAGAGGAGACCCAGGAGGTCAGAGAACCTGGGGAAACAAGAGCTGAAAAAGCCACCGACCGTGGGGCTGAGAGGCAGAGCAGGAACTACGGGGAGAGAGGGGGCAGAACGAGGCTGACGGAGGTCCGGTCAGACCCCCAGCAGGAGAACAGAAGGAAAGCACATCCGAGAGCTGACGACCGCTCACTCCCAGAAGTGCGGGCAGACGCCATCGGACACGGAGACGAGGGCACACGAAGCACCACAGAGCGGGGCGCCCTGCCGGGGCCAGGCTCGCAAGGACACCCCGGACCGACGACGGAGGTGGTGGCACTAACACACCTTCACCGGAGGGACGTCCCTGGGACCAAGAGCAACGTCACCCCGAAGGTTGAAGGTCGGGTCTGAGCCGGGAAAAGCAGCAGCGACAGGAGAAGCCCCAGGCGCCTGCAGAGCCCGCCACACAAGCAGCGTCTCCACGACGGCGGTGTCCAGGTTCACCACGAAGACGGATGGAACACCGGACACTCCCGGCACTTCGGGAGAGGAGGGATCGGGTCTGGGACGTGGCGTGTTGTCGGGAACGTAGGTTACGAGATGAAACGTTTATGATACAAATCTAAAGATTATCATTGAAGAAGAAAAACAATATATCATTTCTAAGCCAGCGGAGGAGAAATACAGAATGGAATGGGGAAGAGAGGATGCAAGAGAAACCAAAATTTTTACAGAGCATGAAAAACAGATTTCTTGAGGTGTGGGGGAAGCAACCCGAGAGAGCAGACGGGGACCCAGCGCCCACAGACTGACCCCACCCGCAGACTGACCCCGGCGGGCGGGTCTGCACCACACGTCCCGCATGTGGGGATGTGGAGAAGACGGCAGAGGGAGACGAAATCCTGAGGGAACGCCAGCAGAACACTGGGGGAGCCACGCTCCCGCCAGGGCAGACCCCGGGACGCACGGCAGCGGCGGCGTCACCACGACCACCGGCGCTCAGCCAAGTTCACCCCGTGCCCACTGCGGCTCTGAGCGCAGGACACGTGTCTGTCCCCCTCCCAGGTCCGTGCCCATGAGAGGAGAACACACAGAGACTTGCACACGACTGTTCACGGCAGCACCACCCACAGGGGCCGGAAGGCGGAAACCCCACACACACGTGCGTCACGTGTCTTCCCGCAGGCTGTGGGCTGAAGGGCATCCCCGAATTCACAGTGGGGGCCTGCCCTCCAGGACCTCACATGGGCCTGCATTTAGAGGCGGGGCCTTCAGAGAGAGAACTTGGGTCAAATGAGGTCATGAGGGGCGGCCCTTTTCAGATCTGATGGGTGTCCTTACGAGAGGAGGGGGTTGGGACAGACACGCAGACCAAGGGGCAACCACGGGAGGACACAGGGAGAAGGTGGCCGTCTGCCAGCTGAGGGGACAGGCCTTCGCACGCAGCGGCCCCACCAGCACCCTGATCGTGGACCGGCAGCTTCCAGACCGAGAAAGTGCCTTTCTGCCGTGCGAGGCCCCGCCCCTCGCTTGTCTGTGTGTTCACGCCCACCCTCTGTCGGCGAGCCTTCCACTGGCGGTGGTGCCTGTGGCAGGAGGGGAGAAAAGGAGATGTCAACTGTTTTAGACTTCCTCGTCCCACTGAACCAACTGACTCCCGTGCCCGGCTGGGACTGCACCCAGTGACCGGCCTGCAGAGGAAGTTCAGTGACGAGAGGACAGAGCCCAGGGCCTGCTCTGGAAACGCTGGGAGCCGGGGGGCGGGGCTGAGCAGGGATGCCTCACTGCGGGGTGGGGACAGGCGGGGAGGGCAGGGAAACTGGGAACCCTGAAAACTTGGCCTGCGTTCCAGCCCTGAATCACTTTCCCAACCTCAGACAAAGCACGGTCTCAAGTTTCACTGGAGACTCAAAGCTGCAGGGGATCACACTGGGGGGGGAGACCCTGTCAGGACCTGGCTGCCCGGCTGCCCAGACCGAGTCCCTGAGTCCCCCAGACCACGAGGAACCCACTGTCCCTGCTCCTTCTCCGTGGCTCCCGGGAGACAGGCGTCGCAGGGAGGAACTGAGCCGTGGGCCAGGCACTCACCCTGCACCTGCCCCCCCAAAAAACCCCAGACGACCTGGGAGGAGAAGGGCAGCGGCTCCCTTACCACCCACCCCCCAGATAAAGCAGCTCCACTTCCACGGGGTTGGGACTGGGGCATTCTTGGAAAAACGGGCAAACGACAACTCAGCCGTGCCCGACGCAGCTCGGACTCCGAGCCAGGGAAGCCCTCCCCGCGCCTGCGGCCCAGCCACTGGACCCTCTGGTGCGGCCGCAGTCCGCCGGCAGCCTGAGGACTCTGCTGAAGTGAGAAGCCTAAAGGCACTGCCCAGGACAGACAAGCCCCCCCCCCCCGCCCCCTCCCAACGCCCACGGCCGAGGAAAGTACCCGGCTCCCCCGTTGCTGGCCCCACCCAGCCGGGCTGGTGGTCCCCAACGTCACCGGTGCTCTGGCCCTCAGCCCAGAGGACGATACCTGAAAAGCCACAGCAGAGCTCAGTACTGCAGGGACGACCCTCCAGTTCTCCGAAACCCAGGCCAAGAGGGAGGAAATGTGGAAATGATGGAATCCCACAGACAGGACACTGGCTGGGGGGGCCAAGTGCCACTAAGCACGCCACAGGGGCCAGTCAGCAGCAGGACCCAGAAGACAAGGACGGCCCAGGGCCCTCTCAGAGCCACGTCTCCAGGAGCCTAGACCCGCGTGCCAGTCAGAAACCCCCGAGACACAGTCCTCACCGAAGGGCGCACGCTGCTGAGGCACAGCACACTGGCGCAGGGGCGCCCGGCTGGGTTCAGAACAGGGGCGGGCAGGCGGGGGCCAGCGGCCGGGAGGAGGGTGGCTCCTGCAGGAGACACTGCCAGAGAGAGGGGGGCTCCCTCTCCACTCTCTCTGCAAAGGGGGCTTGCAGAGCACTGTCTGAGTGTGCGAGAGTGCGTGTGCAGGTGCACTGTCTCACACCACCAAGTGCCCCCAGGGAACAGTGCCCGGCCTGCATCTGGCCGCACCAGTCACGCAACCCCCAAGGGCACAGCTCCTGTCTGGGGGGCCTGAGATAAAGCCTGAGCAGTGAGGTGCCCCTAGGCCCGGGACCCACCCCTGGGGCTAGGCCACCAGGATGGGACCTCACAGAGAAGGTGCTGGCCTCGACAACCATGGTCCCAGCAGCTGGTTGGGGCTCGCGCCCTCTAACAACCAAGGTTAGAGAAACGGACATGCTGCCTCTGAATTCTCCCCTTCTCTCTGGAGGTAGCACCCCGAAAGGAGGGTGAACAGTTACAATGAGAACTGTCCTGTTTCCTTGTGAGGTCAGAACGTAAGTGACCGGTGTCGTGTAAGGCTCCGGCTGTGACCAGGCCACTCCCGTCACTCCTGCCCCCCCCACCACCACACCAGCACGGGGCCCCGGGGGAAACCCACGCACAGGCACCCGTCCGTCTCCCCACGGGCGGGAAGGCTGAGGCTGCCCAGGAACTGCCCACCGCCCCAAGTCGCGGGGCAGCAAACAGCAGACCCCAGGCTTCGGTCAGGCAGCCTGGCCGCCAAGCACGGGCACGAGGGCAGGACAGAGGAGGTGGGGGCAAGGGCAGGGGCAGGGGACGGAAGGAAGAGAAGCTGCCGGAGATCGTGAGGTGGAGGATCAAGCAGAGCAGCCTCACCTTAGAGGCAGGAGAGCGGAGACCCTGGCTGGGCTTGCAGGCGCACACGCCGCAAGCACGGCAGGTGCCGAGCCACAGCAAAGATCTGGTGCTGCAGCCGGCCCTGCGGCACGGACCCCGCAGGCAGTGCTGCCGCGGCACCATCCCTCCTCACACCCAGACCCATCGAGGCCCCACGGGCAGGAGCTCCACCGAGCTCTCAGCACGCCGTCCCTGGTCCACCTCACAGGGCGGCCTTCCCTGCCCCTGGGCAGCCCGGTGCTGCCTGCGCCTGTCCCTGCGCCCGGGTCACTCTCTCAGTGCTGCCGGCCTGTGCGCACCCGGCCCACCCCGCGCTGCCCCTCGGGCTGCTGCAGCCAGGCGGAAGGAGGAGGCACAGTGCTCGGCACAGCCGCACGGCCTCCAGTTGAGAGATGGCCGCCACCCTCCCCTCGAACTTGGCCACACTAAGCATGGCCTAGCCTTCCTGAGGACTGGAAGCTCGGACTGGGCCCCCGAGTCCGCAGCCCAGTGAGAACGACCACCCTCCCGGGGAGGCCTCTGAGCTAAGACTAGACGGGGAGGGCCGGTCGGCCAGTGGGCCGCTCCAGGACACGAGACAGGTGAGCGGGGTCGCCCGGGGCCCCAGACCAGCACACCTGCAGCCCCACGGGCCGCGCCGGGCAGAGGCAAGGGGAACAGCGGGACCTGCTGCTTTTTGTGACACGACTTTAGGAACCATTTTTTACTCCATGAATTACATGATGTCTAATATGAACAAAATTAACTGAGAACACTTCTAAAGAATTCAGCACGATGGTGTAAAGCCAAATAAAGTCTTAAGCCTTAACTTTTTAAAGAAACAAAGAAAAAGCCCCACGAAATCCAGGACATGGCCTGGGAAGCCCGATCCCGTGCCAGGGGCACCACGCGGGGCCTGGGGCCCGGCCCGTGCCACCTCCGCCGTCCCCAAACCGGCACCCTGTTCCAGCCACAATGGCAGCGGGGACACAGCCACGGGCTGGAGAGCAAGCAGTCTAAGCAGGGAGGGGGCAAACAGGGTCAGAATCGAGTGTCTCGGTTGCTTTTCAAGGAAAGAAAAGGTCAGAGAGGGGTGCGGAGCTGATTCCCACGGCAGCCGCCGTCCCGCCCGGCTGCGAGCTGGAGCTCGGCGCTGGTCCCGGGCCCGGGCGTGCGCTGGCAGGTCCCTGAGGCGAGGTGAGGCCGGCTGAGGCTGCCTCCCTCCCTCCCGGCTCTCGAGGAGGACGGAGGACAAAGACTGCCAGGCACAGGCTAAAGGGCAACGGGCAGCAGCTCAAGGCTCCTCCGGTTCCGGGACATGTGGGGAGACACACTGCAGGCAGAACCGCGGCTCTGACCGGCGGCTCCCGGCTGCCAGCACGCACCGGAGCCGGGCGCAGAGTCTCCCACACTGTCTCTATTACAACATCGCAGACCCGCTGGAGTCTGGCCTGCCCTGTGTTCACCTCTGCCCTCGCCCTGGACACGCCGGAACCCTCTGGCCTGAACGCCGGGCCGGCACTGACATGGCACTCGCGAGCCAAAGCAAGGGAGCTTCCGGGAGGCGCACCGTGGTGCTTGCCTTGGCCCATGGGTGACGCTGCTCTGAGGCAGCTCAGTGGTGCAAACACGTGGGAGCAAACACATGAATCGTAGCTGCGGGCAGGAGGAATATCAGGTGCATCTCTAGGCCCCGAGGGCTCAACTCCTCCACTTAAACCCCTCCCACCGGGGCGGCCGCTCAGTTTCACAGAGCAGCCGGCTGAGACAGTCCTGCTCCTGGGCACTGTCCGCCGCCGCCACCCGCCGCCGCCTGCTCCTGCACTGCCTGCCTCCGGTGAGTACCTGCCATTTCTTCTCAAATTCACCTTTTCTTTCAGAACGCCTCTCAGCTGGGTCCTGAAGGATCTGCCTCAGTGACTCGGCTGCTGCCCTGCCGTCTCTGAGGATTACTCAGGACCCAGCAGGTGCATCACTGGAGAGTAGACCTCGATTACAAAACTCTTAACGAGGCTCCACTTTGTTCTCAGCCTGTGAACAAGCTCGCCTAGAAATTAAGTCCTCGTTTCTACTATAAAACCCATAAAGTTTAAAACAAAAATCAAATTTTTATTATTGCTTATCTGTTCCTCACCTTAAAAATAAACTATGATCAGTTTCAACGTAAAAGGTCATATATGTACATGTATATGATTACACTGTGGCCGGTTTTAATTTACAGTTTCTTTAATTTTAGAGCCTTTTAAAGTTTTAAAGTTTAAAGTAAATACTGTCTTAGTATTAGTTTTTAAAAAAGCTTAACCAAAGAGAATCCCTATATAAGGGAAAGGAGGGTTTTTTCCCCTTTATAAAGCTTTTCATAAATCTGTACAAGAACAACTACTGACCGAATTAATGGCCAGGTTTGAGCTGAGACAGACCTCGCTTAAGCAAAGTCTCTCTACGTTTGCTGTCCTGATTTTTATTTTGCACGAACAAAGTTCCTCCAGTGCTTTGAACTGGTCTGGGTCTGGATGGGTTTTGTGGGGTAAACGAGGGGGCACGCTGAGCTCGCGGGCTGCAGCGACAGCCCCCTGAGCGCTGAAGCTGGGCACTCGCTGTCCAGAGCCCGGTCTGGTGGGACCACAGCCCAGACCGGGAAGAGCTCTGCTTGTTTCCTGGGCCGGCCCGCCCAAGCCCTTCAGGGAGCTGCCTCTCCCCCCAGGTCACGGCTGTCCCAAAGGTTGCCCTGCATTTTAAAGAGCCAAGAGTCTGGGAGGGAGTGGTGGTTAATCACTGGAAAAGCTCAATTGGAGTAAAACTCACAAATCTTGTTCTTGCGACACCCCAGTGGGTAGGCGACAATGGCGTGTCCCTGGAGTTACGCAACAACGCCACCTCACAATATTGTAATTATAGCATGCCCTTCAGAGCGTCCCGCCTGGCGAGGCCCTCGGCCAGACGGCTGGACTCGCCGAAAGGAGTCCTGCAGCCCGAGTCCGGCACTCAGGCTCACTCGCAGGACAGGCGCAGCACCCTGCCCTGGAGCTCAGCTGCAGTGACCGCTGGTGTGTCCTACCAAAGTTCCAAAAAACCTCCTCCTGTCGTCTGTTTTTCAGAGTTCAAGCTGCTTAGAAACTTTTTACACCTGCCAGCCGCTCGCTACCATCCTAACCACGAGCAGCCGAGCTAGCTGTCCACACTCAGGGGCCATCAGAAGGACAGGGCGATTGGGTGCACCCAGCCCTGCCCCCACGGAAAGGGGGAGCCCGAGACAGCCTGCCCCTGGCTCTGCCCACGGGCAAAAGAGCCAGTGAACGTGGCTCGAGCAGATGTTTAAAATGCTTGAAAAGTCACAAAAAGCACTCTTTTAAGTGAAGTAGGAAGACCTGTGGGAGGGCTCCTGGTCCATGTCTCTGCCCTGAGTGTGGACAGGGGCACCAGCCGCTTTGTCTGAAAGGCCCCGTGGCCAGCGTGGCGCGTGGGGCTCTTCTGACCCGGAGCAGTGCGTCTGCGCGCAGGGCACTCGCCCCGGCTCCCCTCGGGGGCAGGGCAGGCAGCCCCGCGGGAGAGCAGGAGGGTCAGGACCACTGTCGCGTCAACCCCTCGGGAATGGCCGACGCCCAAATGCCCACAGATGCCGACACAAGGCCAAGCCCCAGGGTCCCGTTCGCCTCGCCTCTCACTGCACAGCCCCCCGGCACTGTGTGACCTAGTCACGGGCACCCCCAAAGAAAGGGCTCGGGGGCCCCTCCGAAGTCCCGCAGGAAAAACTCCCCCGGAATGCAGATCCCCCTGCCACAAACAGTTAAAGCTCTGCACTGTTTTGGCAACAGGGCCCTCTGGGGGAAGGTGGGACAGCAGTTTTAGTTCTGTCACCCTGCAGCCCTCGCTGGGTAGGAGGGCTCACAGACGCACAGCCTCCACAGGCCGCCCCTGAGAGCCTCACGGCCGCCTCGGCCGTGCTCCCTGCTATAGCCAGCGACCGTGCAGCCCGGAGAGGTCAGCTCCCCGAGTCAGTGCCACGGCTGCACCTGTGGCTCAGGGTGGCCCTCCACTCCCACCACACCGGCCTGGGGCCGGCCCCAAGGCCTGTTTACTGTCCCTGGGGGCCGACCTCAGACAACAGACACTCCAGACACACCTGATTAAAAAGTGCACGTTAAGATAGAGGCAATCACCTCCCTTTAAAGTATCCTTTTGGGCAATACTCTGATTAACTTACACGCAACTTGCCTCCTGTAAACCTGAGAGAAACCCTCACCAGCGTGGGTTTACTCCTGTTTCTGCCTAAAAGCACCAGCTGTGTAAGCTAAACGAGACCGCGGCTGACCCTGACGCGCTCCTCTCAAGTCCCGAGGGACCGTCTTCCCGGCTGAGCACTCGTTTCCGTGCCGGAGGGTGGGCCCGGGCGAGCGCAGTCCCGGTATCGCCGGGACTGTGGGCTCACACCTGATACCCGTTTTGCAACTGTCACTTGGGAAGAAGCTGCGCGCAGCAAGTGATGAAATCACCCGTTCTCGGGTCTCTGCCGTGACACATCCTCCGCGGCCCTGGGAAGCTGCCTCGCAGAGGTTCTCACGCCTCCAGGACCAGCATGCAGGCGGACGTGCCGGCACAGGCCCCGCTGACTGATCTGGCTGGCCCGGCGGGCCGCACGGAAATTGTGCTTTTATCACCCAGAGCCTATCTGCCCCCCGAGGTATGAACTGAGCACTCGTGAAGAGTCATTGCGCCTTTTTCCTACAATAAGCAGGGAAATTAGAAAGACACAAAGCTGTGATTACAAGCGTAATTTGCTTGGCTCGGACCCGGCCTGGCAGCTCCTGCGGCCGCACGCGCTGGGAGGGAAGGAGGGGCAGCCTGCAGAGGCAGAGCCCGCGGATGACCGCCCCCAGGGGCAGGGCCCAGGGACCCCTCTCCCCACCGGTGGAGCAGCCAGCGCCCAGAGCCCGCCTGGTCACCCGGCTCTGCAGAAACTCTCAGAGCGCTTAGGCACCAGCAAGGCTTCCTCCCGCCCAGACGGCTCAGCGAGCAGACGGGCTCTGAAAGAACTGGGGGACGAAACAGCACCACAGAGGCAGGCCATCAGGGGGGACTGGTTCTTTGTATTTTTAAGAAATGTGGATAAATGAACAGAGAAACCAGTTCTCTGAGAATGAAATCAGACAGCTTTCTTACAAGGTGTCCAAGTGGAAATCGGAGCTCCACCCCTCCCACCCCCACCCCTCCCCCCCGCAGAGGGCCCATTACCTCACCCCTCCCGGGTGGGACCCAGGACAGCAGCGGCGGTGGTAACCAGTGACCGCCTAGCGCTGTGAAAGAAAGTCCCTCAGGTTTCCCACATGCAGCCTGTTTCCCAAAGGCTGCTTTCCTGGTGAATGTCTCCCCACCCTGTAGAGAAGGTGACGCTTTGTACGCAAAATCCTATCACACTTTCTAAAGTCTTAAAGCAAAAATGCAGCTGAAAAATTTTGTTAAGCCATTTTCTTTATTTTTTAAGCTCCTTGAAAATATGTCAAAGCTAAAGACCTTTTCCTTCCTACATTTTTATGCAAATGAAAGTGCTGGGCCTTGACTCCTCACACCCTCGGGCAGCCTCCCCACCCCCGCGTTTCTCTTGGACTCAGCAACTCCAGGAGCTGGTCCTCCCGGCTGCTGCGCTCAGCTTCTGCTGCGCCTGGAGGCCCAGAGCCCTGGGGCGTGCACGGCAGCCTCAGAAGGAAGCCAGGGCTGAGACCTGCTGTCCCGCCTAGGAGTGGTGGGTGGGTAGGGAAAGGAACCTGAAGGTCAGCCACGCCAGCAGCCCTTGCTGGGACCCGGGGCCCTGGGGGAGGAGGGACAGGCCCAGGAGGCCCTGCCTGCTCAGGCCAGGGGCCTGAGTGGGCGTGGCCTAAGGCCAGGTGGCCCAAGGCCCCCCGTGCTGAAGGGCAGAGGCTCGGTGGCTTCCCACCACAATCCCACCAGGCACCCCCAGCCGCTTTTCCCTTGAGTGTGAGGGTGAGGACACTTCTGCCACTTGGAGGTGAGCCCAGGAAAGAAGGCAGGTGCCCAGCGACACTCACGCACAGATCCCTAGGAAGGCAGTGGACACAGAAACGCTCGGGCCCCCCCAGGCTCTCCCTGACAGCACCGCTCCCCGACAGCACCGCTCCCCGACAGCACCGCGGCAGAGCCCACCTCCGCCTGTGCTGAGACCGAGGGCCGGCTGGCAGCCGTGAGGACAAGTGCCTCAGGGCGGGGCTGCGTTTCTAGATGCACTTGTGACGCCGGCACACAGAATACAGCTCGATCCCACAGGGCAGCCCCGTCGAGGAGCACTTCCTGCTCGTTACAGGGACAGCCTGCGGCTCCCAGTGCACACGGGCACAGGTGCGGCCCCCTAGCACAGTCGGGCCACGTCGCGGCACGGCTCCAGGAACTGTGCAGGTGGGCGCGACTGGCCCCCCGTCCCTCAGCCTCCTCAGTTAACAGCCGCCCAGCATCTGACGCCTCGGGTCACAAGAGGAAGGTTCCCAAAACTCAAATCATGACAGGTGTTCTTGGAATTCGCCCCAAACACACACACACCAGTCCTCTCTGCCCCCAGGCAGCGCAGGTCTGCTCTGAGAGGGGTGGCTGGCCTGCCCGCACCCCCGGGGACAGCTGCATCCCTGTCTCTCCAGGTGCCTCTGCTCTGGCCCCCAGCAGTCAAGGTGAGGACAGGCTCTCCCTGCTGGCCCCTCAGCCAGGGTCCCCTGACTAAGGCTCTGCTCCTCCGTTGCAGCTCCAGGCCCCAGATGAGCGACGCGCCCACGGTCGGGCCGGCGGCACAGCTAGCTGGCTGCAGGTAAGGCGGCAGGAGGGAAGCCGGGGAGCGGCAACACTCCACGTGTGGATTCGGCAGCAGCCACCGCAAGCGGGCCCCAGGGAAGACCGGAGCCCCACCGAGAGAAGAAAATGAGTCTCCTCAAAGAGCGGAAACCCAAGAAGCCGCACTACATCCCGAGGCCTCCGGGGAAGCCCTTCAAGTACAAGTGCTTCCAGTGTCCCTTCACCTGCAACGAGAAGTCTCATCTCTTTAACCACATGAAGTACGGTCTCTGCAAGAACTCCATCACTCTGGTGTCGGAGCAAGACCGCGTCCCCAAGTGCTCCAAACCCAGCTCCCTGGACCCTAAGCACGCACACCCGCCGGACCCTGCGGTGAAGCCCACCTCCTCCAAGTCGGCCACACACAGGCTCCCCGCCCTGGACGCCAAGCTCCCGCTCGGCCTCGCCAAGGACGACGCCAAGGAGAACGTGCAACTGCAGGTCCACGGGTCCCACAAGGGCGCTGGGCAGAAGCCCGCGCCCCACAAGGAAGCCGCACACCTGGGGCCGGCCCCAGAGGCCGCCCCGGGCACCCAGCCCACCCTGGAGGGCATCGTGCGGCCGTCGGCCTTTGTCCCCGTGGGAGACCACAGACTCAAAGGGCCTGAGCACGCTGAGGCTCTCGAGCCACTGGCCCTGCCCAGCCCCACCGCCAAGGCTGCTGCCTTCCATGCCAAGTCGGCCTTCCACGCCCCTGCCTACCCGTGGAAAGCCGGCTCGCCTTTCCTCCCGCCCGAGTTTCCACATAAAGTCCCACCCACAAAGGGGTTCGGGGCCCTCTCCCCTTACGTGCACCCTGCCGTCCCTGAGTACCCCCCTCACTTTTACGCAGAGCACGGACTGGCCACCATCTACACGTCCTTCCGACTGGCCGGGGACCCACCGGAGTGTGGCGCCCCCCTGCTGTCCGTCTACGGGGCCCGAGACCAGAGGCACTTCCTGCCCCACCCGGGGCCCATGCCCAAGCACCTGAGCCCCTCTCCCCCGACATATGAGCACTACAGGTTCCTCCCGCAGTACCACCCCAGCCTGCCGGTTCCTTACGGGTTCTACAGGCCCGAGTCCGCGTTCTCCTCCTACGGTCTCAGGCTGCCACTCGTCACCGGTGTTTCTCAAGATCAAAGCTCTCACCTGCTGGAAGAGGCTGACCTGGCCTACCGGGCCTCAAGTCCGCCCACGTCAAACCCCTCCGACTCCCACAAAAAACATGCAGAGTCTGACAAAGAGAGTCCGACTCCCGAGGCTGAAGACCCTCCCAAAGACAGGCAGAGGGACACCGAAGGGACCAAGATGAGCCCGCGTGCGGGCAGTGCGGCCACCGGCTCCCCAGGGAGGCCGAGCCCCACCAACTTCACACAGACCAGCCAGCCATGTGCCGGACTGGGCAGCCTCTCGGACAAGCCCGCCTGTAGTGCCCTGGGGAGGCTCCAGCAGCCCGAACGGGGCCTCACCGCCTTCAAGCCCATCATGAAGAGCACAGAGCACCCACATTCCCAAGCTCTGGAAAACAGAGACAACTCCCCAAAAAGGTAAGAACATTTCCTGTTCTCAAAACCTCCAGAGTCATGTCTCTGGGTTGGGCTCGGTTAGCCAGCTGCTCGCTCAGAGAGCTTCACACAGCAGCTTCCCTAAGCAAGGTCCCTGCTAAGCCTTTCCTTTGCCTCTTCCAGCCCCGAAGCGGTGAGCACCGACGCTCCGGCCCAGGCAGGGAGCACCTGCGGCAGCGTGCCGTCCAGCCCGGAGGGTGGTTCCGGGGCAGCCCCGCTGAACCTCTCCAAGAAACCGGAGACCAAGCCAGCAGCCACCCACCCCCCCATGTACAAAGACTTTGCAGAGCTGCAGGACATGCCTCTCAACCTCTCGGTGAAGGACCCCTGCAACGCCCTGACGCCGAGGCCCTCCCCCCACAGCCCGCCGCGGGAGCCGGAACCTGCTCCTGCTTCTCAGAATGCTGAGCCAGAAGGTTCTGGAGATGGGCCGGACCGCACCGAGACCAACCAGAACGGCCCCAGCTCTGACGAAGGTCCAGTGGCCAGCCCCACGGGGGAGGCCCAGGACGCACGGGCGGCGGACAACAGTGACGAGCAGAAGCAGACAGCGGCCGTGGCCCTCTGCCAGCTGGCAGCCTACAGCCCAGGCCCCGTCCGGGTGGGCGACGGGGAAGCCGTGGCCCAGGAGCCCTCCTGCCAACGCGACGCGCCCTCGGCAGGTGCCTCCGCGGGCCGAGAGCCTCCGAGCAGCCTCAGACCCAAAGCGCAGAAGAGAGCGAGCCCGCGGGACGCGGGGAGGGCCCAGCAGGGGACCAAGAAGGCAAAGCCGAGCGACACGGCCAGAGTGTCCACGCTCCGGAAGAGGACGCGGCTGTCTTAGCGCCAGCTCACCCGCCCGCTGAGGCTCGCCCGCCCGCTGAGAGCTCGGGCCGGCACCCCCGAAGGCGGGTCACGGAGCAGCAAGCCTTCAAGGGCACCTTCATTCTTTCACCTGGTCGGCTTTTACAAGGCAGTTTTTTCTTCTCAAAAAGACACACGGAAAGCAAGCCGCAAATGAGTTCGCTTTCTGCAAACGCCACGCAGAATGCTGCACAGCGCCCCCACTCGGGGCTGTGAGAACATCTGAACGACTCACGAGACCGACACGTTAGACACTGGCTTCCAATTCTGCGAAATACCAAACGAAACAGGTAAAGCGGAAAGGTCGCTTTCACGTGTAAGCCACCTCACGGAAAACCTTTTCACAATACTCTTCCTGTAAATATCTTAGCACTAGAACATACTGTCTTAACTGTATTATTAAACCGACTGTGTTTTGAAGTAACTGAAAATGCCAGAAAAAACATTTGCAGTGCTGACATGCAAGTGCTGTATGTAAAAACGTTGTGATCTGTTACGACTGAAGATTACACGTCCAGCAAAAGGCTATTTATGCAAATAATTTATTCCGCTGGGGGAAGCGCACTGCCGGTGAAGCCATTTCACTGGGTTCTATTCTGCACAACGTTACAATGGGTTTTCTGACTCACTCAGCCTCACTCCCCTCTCCCTGAAATGATGACAGAACTGCTAATTTTCCAATAAAGTCATAGATGAAATTTAAGGGTACACAAAATGAAGACAAAGATGAACTGTGTAACACTGAAGTGTATTTTGCCACAATAAACTTAAAATGAAAAAAGAGACAAGAGCTGAGGCAGCAATTAAAACTGAGAAAAAGAATGTGTGCCTGTGCGTCCATGTGTGTGCATGTGTGAGGATGTGAGTGCACACGCAGACCAGTGGTCACTGAGCTCGGGCATGGGCGCCACCCTGGGGCCCCCTGGAAACTCTCCAAAGGGCCCTCAAGCCTCAGGGGGGTTCCAGAGCCTCAGCTGCCTGAAACCACTCCGGCCCGAATCCCAGGCTCCCCTCGCCTACCCCTGCACAACAGCCGCTTCTCCCACTTGCCTCCCAGGCCGCCCGGGGTGTCACTAAAGGGCCCCTGGAGAAGCCGGTGGTGCCGAGGGTGGGCATGAGCCCACTGTCTGGGAGAAGGGCCTCAGCCAGGCAGACGGCTGTCAGCAGAACGCAGGTCCAGTGGTGTCAGAGGACACACGCAGCTAAAGCGGGAGAGCTGCCCCCAGCCACCTGCACGTGGAACAAGGCTTGTGGGCACAGTGCTCGAGTCTTTTAAACAGAAGCACAATCAAGTGTCGGTGCAGACTCTCACCTGGCCCTGCACATGAGCAGCACTCACTCACCAAGGGTGGCCTGACCTAAAATCCCCCTCGCTAAGAGCTGTAGGCTGGCCCAGTGTTGTCTGCTGTTGTTCTGATCAACTTCATGGTAACAACGCACGTTTTTAAAAACGTAGTCTGAGAAAACTTAGCCCCCAGAGCCACGGGACACGCAACAGCCCGGAGCCTCAGCAGCATGCGTGCAGGGGCAGCGCTGGTGCACGGGGCAGCGGCTCATGGGAGTCGAGGGCGGCGCGGAGCGGACAGGGCGCGAGAGCAGCACGACGCCCACCCGCTGCGCGCCTCCCACCTGAAAGCGTGCGAGGCGGTGTCACTTCAAAGTGACTGTACTCGGCCGCAGGCAACACGCTCCGCAGCACGTAACACGCTCCGCAGCACGCAACACGCTCCGCAGCACGCTCGATCAGTACGAAACACTGGCATCAGCTCAGAGGGAGGCAGAGCTGGTCAAAGCGCTCTTGGGCACCCACGAGGCAGCTGTCACTAAGCGCCCTAAGGCGTCGAGAACAACCACACGCCACCGGCTGCAGACGTGGCCATCGAGGCCCAGCCCCAGGGCACACAGGGCTCTTCCGTTTCTGACACCGACCCGGGTGGCGAAGAGCAGAAAGAGGCCCTCTGCCCTCTCGAGACTCAGCACCCGCAGGAAGCAGAACCACACGTCACGGGCCGAGGCCCAGACTCGGGGCCCAGAGCCTCGCCCTGCAGACAAGCCCCCACCCACTGCTCCACACACGCCTGGCTCCCACTGGACCAGGCGTCCCTCCTGGTGATAAACCCGGCTGCCGTACACACACTCACAACAGCCCAGAGCACCCCACGGCAGTGAACACTGGCCCTGGGGACAAGAGCATCTCAGTGTCACAGAGGCTCGTGTCCCCAGATCCAGGCATGCGGCGCAGCTGGGCGCTGAAACTGCACAGCAGGCAGACGCGGCCACGAGGAGCTGAGAAAGGCCCACATGAGGAGGAAGGCTGAGCGGGGTCCAGCACGTCCTCTCCCGCAAACACGACGTCCGTCAGCGAGGGCACGGGCAGGGCATGGCGCGCGCAGGCCACGTGGGGGGCGGGGAGGCACCCAGCTCACGGCAGTCCCGACCAGGCGAAGCCAGCGGGCTGCAGGTACTCACCGTCTGGGAGTCTCGGGGGGAGCAGCAGGCCTCTCCTGCCCAGCTCTGCCAGCGCCAAGCAGCCGCCGTGCCAGGCGTCATCTGTCTCCTGGAAACTGAGAACACAGAGGCCGCCTGAGACCCCAGCGTCTCCTCCGAGGCCCAGCTGGCCGAAGTCCCAACCCTGCACCTTAACCAAAACCCGGCTGTGGGCTTTTAAAACATCCGCAGGCCCAGGACACACAAAACCCAGTTTAAGTGGAGAGCACTGCCCTGCTCCCCCCTCCTCTGCAGAGGCCCTGTGGTGAGTCAGGTCCTGGGGAACCCGCCACAGCAGGTGCTCCAGAGACGGTGCACCAGCCACTCCCCAAACCCCCCAGGAGACGCCGGCGCCTGGAGCACAGGTCTGCAGGCCTGCCCCCCGCTGGCACTGCGGGGTCAGCGAGGGGACTGGTGGGGCTGAGGGACAGCTGCACCACACTCAGGAGACGGGGGCAGGGCGGGGCAGCAGCCAGCGGAGGCCCCCGGTGAAGCCCCTCAGGGACGCAGGCGGTTCTGCAGCCCACGGCCTGGCCCAGGAACAGCAGGGAGTGCAGTCCGCCCTGGGAGCAGGCGCAGCTGCACTCCGAGGAGCAGGTGTCCTGTTTCTGACCCATCTCAGGAAAGGCTGGCAGCTCCCGTGGCCCAGGAAGACACATGAGGAGGGACGAGAATGGGACGGCCACGTGCCCAGTCCCTGACGAGCCGCTAGCACCTGCCGCTCTGCATCTCAGAAAGCCCTGGCCTGTGGCTGACTCCTCGCCGGGCCCGTCTCGTGCCCGTGGTGCGCAGGCACCACCAGGAAGACGTGGCATCGCGGGTGCACGCAGGGTGCATGCGGGTGCATCGCGGGTGCATGCAGACGGCAGCGGGGAGGCCTTCCCGCCCCACAGTGCTCCGCTGCAGAGCCAGAGTTCATCCAAATGACAACATGAAGGCCAGGAGCACTTCAGGTTAAACTCCCAAGGACAAGAGAAGCTGGACTACATCTGCTGGGCTGGGGAAAGGCCACACACCTGACCATAGACAGGTCTCTTGATAGAAACAACGGTCGACACCGTGGGGAGAGGCTTCAGGAGGGAGTGCAGTGGGTGAAGGGGAGGGAGAGGCTGTGCCGGGAAAGGGGAGCTCCGTACAAAGGAGCTCTAACCAACCAGAGAGAAAGAACAGGAGGAGGAAAGAAGGAACAGATGGACGCAGACAGCCATCCTGGAGAAGAGGCTGGAGGAAAGGCCCCCAAATCCTCTCTCAGAGCTCTGCCTTCTCCCAAAAGCAGGACGCTCCACCGTGGCCACACCAGTGGCCAGCCCCCCGTGGCCACCTCCGCACCCAGCTCGGCCCCGGCACCGAGCATGCCCACCACCACCCCTCCAGAAAAGAGCTCCAGGAAGATGCCCCCCAACAAGCAGGCAGAACGGCCAGGGAGAGAGGAAAGCCCCCGCTGGCTCGTCCTGGGACCCTGGCCCCGCACGGCCCACCAAGAAGCGTGCGTGTCTGCAGGCAGGGAGATGTCTCCGCAGGGGGGCAGGCTGGCCACACGCCCACCACTGCTCTGAAGAGACAGCCCGCATCTGACACGCTGTTTCCTGCACTCCCGGAGCTGTCACCGCGCAGGCTCGAGGCGAAGTGCACGCAGCAGCCCGCTCGGGGGCAGCAGGGGCTCTGCGGAGCTGCCCTGGTGACACCGAGCACCCCAAAGTGCTGACGGCACACTTTCCACACGCAGTGCCCCCACGGGAAGAGCCAGCAGCTAACGAGGGCAAGTGTGCAGCCACTGACCAGCAGATAGCACCCGCTCCCCAAACCAGGAGAGACGCCTGCACAAGTGAGGCCCCCGAGGAACTGCTCACTGCGCCTGCCGCCGACGCACGCGCACGCACACGCGCACCTGGGAGCACGGTGCCGCCCGGGCCCCGCTCTGCCCCGGCCCTGCAGGCCCCCGGCTCACCGCCCAACCTCGCCGCCTGCACACAGAGGCCCACACCTGTGTCACGGGCTGGCCGTTCGCCCGCAGAACCCTCTGAAAGGCTGGGAGAGATACAACACAGCCACCACCACACCTGGCTGTTTAAAGTTAAATCCGGTCAAGTTAAATAAAACTTACAATTCAGACCTCACGGACACTGGCCTCTTTTTAAGTCTCAAGAGCCACAGGTGGCTTGTGGCTGCCCTAGAGGCAGATCCAGAACATTCCGCCATCACAGCCTGCGCCCTGGGACAGTGCCGACCACAGGTCCTAAGAATGCCTGTGCCTGTGTGTGTGCTCATGACTGGTTTTCTTTCCCCCTAAGGTTTTAAAAGGTGATGGGATCTGAGCTGATAAACATACCAGGAGTAACCAGAGTCCTACAACTCACTTAAAAAGGAGAAAAACACTCTAGAGCTCTGACGAGAAGGTCAGTTTAACAGAACGTGACAGGATGTAAGAGAGAAAAGCCACGGTTTCCCGCCACATACCTGAAACAGTCCAGCACTGACCCCACCACGTCATCCGCCAGCTCCTGGGGAAGCCTTCCAGCCACCCTGCCGATTCTGGAAGAGGAAGGTGGCACATGACCACTGCCAGCCCATCATGGGAGCCACACGCTAGACCAGGAGCCGTCCCGGGCGACTCCCCGCCCTCCAGAGGAAGGGGAAGCAGAGGCGGCCCCGGAGCCGGCCAGCACCCGCTGCGCTATACGGAAGGCCACCTCCCCTCCAGCGGGCTCCGCGGGCTCTGTGCGCCCCCGAGGGCTGCCCAAAGGGGTGGGAGTGCAGCACCCCCGACGGTCACACACCCAGCCCCTCGGACACTCCCACCTCGCGGGGACCCCACTCCCACACCAGACGCCAACTGCAGACTCCCATCAGGCCACCTGATGTGGGACGGGCATCCCCAAGGCGCCCCTGCCGGCCTGGGTCCTGGCCAAGGTGCTCCAGGAAGGCCCCTGGCTCCCGGCCCAGGGAGCACTCCAGCCAGACGTGACTCTGGACTCACAGGTTGCCCTGCGCCCCTGCACAGCCCGAGCACTCGCACATCTGAATGGATGAGCAGAAAAGCTCAGGGGTGGTCCCCAACCTCACCCCAGCACCCTCACCCCATTTTACTTCTCTCCACAACAGAAGGCGCACCGACGTCATCAACCTCTACTCTGTACTCTGTCCCCCCATCCCCCCCCACGAGAGACTCGGACTGTCCTGAGGCAGCCTGGCCCTGCAGGGCGGGTGCCCGTTCAGTAGGCCAGCCCCTCAGGCATGACAGAGGCGACGGTCAGCGCCTCTGAAGAGCAGGTGCTCTTCATTCTGCCCTGTCTGGACAGAGCGGCAAGAAGAAGAAGGGGCCTCGAGTGAACATCAGTGATTATCTTTACATCCAGGACACTCGGCCCTGACCAGTGTGGCTCAGTTGGTTAGAGCACCGTCCGGATATGCTGAGGTTGTGGGTTTGATGCCCAGTCAGGGCACATGCAAGAATCACCCAAGGAAGGAATAAATGCGTAAAACAACAAACTGATGTATGCCTGCATCCCTCCCTCCCTCCCTCCCTCTCCCTCTCTCTCTCCTTTCTCCCCTCTTCAAAAGAGACTCAATAATAACGAAGTAAGTCAGGACGCAGGTCATTAAGGGCAGACGAGAGGAGGTCTGTGCTCTCAGACTCCTTGGGGGGACTGAGTGAGTCAGGGCTCAGCACACCCGGGGGGACCACCAGCCCCGGGCCCGGCTCCATGCTCGGTGAGACGGCGGCACCTACCCTTTGGCTGCAGACCACCGCACGACCGTGTCCTTGTCCTTCAGTCCGATCAGCAGCTGCTCTGGAGGAAGACAGGAAGGCAGGTCCGTGAGCTCTGGAGTCTCTGCTCCTCGCTGAGAGGGCACCACGCGGAGACGGCGTGCAGAGGCTTAATGTCCGCCACGGGAGCAGAGTCCCCCCTCCCTCTGCTTCGACAGCAGGCACCTGAGGCCCACGTCCGCCCTGCTCCTAGGCAGCAGGTCCGCCCACCAGAGCAGCACAGGCAGAAAACCCCAGGGAGGCCCGCGTCCACGGCCTCCTCGGCCAGGTGGGGTCGACTCCCCAAGAAACAAGAGGAGCCGTACACGGACAGGGTCCTGGGGACAGACTAGACTTTAGGAAAAGCCACACAACGGCCTACGGTCTTTGAGACTGTAAGAGAGTTGGGGCAGCAACACAGGCCTTACGGTCAAAGCCCCACAAGCCCAGTGTGTGGAAGCCTTGACGGAGGGTCCCAGGCTGCCTGGGAGGGCCTGGGTCTAGGAGAGGGACAGGAGCCTGGGCAGGTGAACAAGTGCCCTGTGCCAGGCAGCCCTGGGCTCGGGGGGGAGGGGGGGGCGGCAGGGGACAGCCGGTGTGGACAACCCTTTGAGGAAACCTCCTGTGAGAGGGAGCAGGCAGCAAGACACTGTCCCCCACCGCAGGAAGCCTGGACAGTGGATGCCGGAGTGCGAGCCCACGGCCGGGAGTGGGAGGCCCCAACCAGAAGTCAGATGGAGGCTGACGGAGACTGGCCCTGCAGGTGGGGCCTGGTCTGAGGGGCGGGGGTGGGGAGCAGGCTCTGCTGACAACTCTGCCCCTGTGCACAGCAGGAGTCGCCAGCCACCTGGCGAGAGAGGGCAGGTGGAGGGCTCTGTGGGCTGCGTGTGGGCAGCAGGGACCCCAGGTGAGGCCTGGGGGAAGGACCCTGGGGAAGCGAGGTGCAGACGGTGGAGTGGAAACGGAGGGCCAGCAGCCACGGGCGTGGACGTTCTCATCGGGACAGGGCCGGACTGCAGGCTGGTGGGCAGCAAGAGAGGTCGGCGATGCCGGCACAGACCGGAAGGTGGCGGCGCCACCAACGGAGCGACGTCAGTGCCGCCTGCAGCGAGCGGGCCTGCTCCTCGTCTCCCACCGCCCAGACCGCCCCTCGGGGCGGTAGGCCACGCACCTGTCACGAGCTCCACCTCCTCGGGGACGTCGTAGCCCTCCTCACTGTCAGGGGCCTCCGTGTGCCCCCCGGGCTCCCCCTGACTCGGGGCGCGGACTTGGAGGTTCGCAGCCAAGGAGCGGCAGCCACGCTGGTACCTGCAGGGACCACACGTGACCTCAGACCCACTGTCACAGCTCGGAGTCCACCGACGATCCTGGCTGACGCTGGCCACGGGGCGTCCCCTGGAGCCTCGCCCCGCGGAGCCTCCACGTGTTCACGGAGACACGATGGGGCGGAACCCGTCTTCGCCGGCACAGCCAGGAAAGCCAGGAAAAGACATCTCCCTGGCCTGGCCGCAGCTGCAGACACCAACCAGAAACCCTCGCCTGCCCCATCCTCACCTGTCCTCACTCACAGCTGGCAGGGGCTCCCACAGGGTCTGCCCCATCCGGCGGAGGCACCGCCTCCAGCCAGCACATGCCTGGGCTGGATGACTCTGCACAGCTCCTGACCCTCTCGCTGCCTCGGTTTCCTTGCCTGTGAACCATGCCCTACGCAGAGGGCTGCAACAAGGACAGACCAGGGCCTTTCCTTCTGGGAGGGGCAGGCGCACACGGGTCTAGAGCCCAACAGGAGGTGCACAGTGAATGCCCGCGATCACCTCCAGAGCCCAGGACTTGACGCCAGCCCCCCTCTGACAGCCGCCCTAAGGCCAGGCCTGGGAGAGCAACTCGGGGAGGAGTCCTGGGAACAGCAGCCTGCAGGGATGCGGGCCTCGCTTCTGAGGGCGGCAGCCGGTCCACACCTTCCTGAAGCCTCGAGAAAACCCCAACCAGAGGCCCAGCAAAGCCACACCCAAGTCCCTGGCCCACAGGAACGGTGGCAACAAAAATGCTCTGTTTTGCCCTGGCTGGTGTGGCTCAGTGGACTAAGTGCCAACCTGTGAACCAAAGGGTCGCTGGTTCGATTCCCTGACAGGACACATGCCTGGGTTGTGGGCCAGGTCCCCAGCTGGGGGAGCAAGTGGTCAATGTATGTCTCTTACATCGATGTTTCTCTCCCTCTTTCTCCTTCCCTTCCCCTCTCTCTAAAAGTAAATAAAGAAAACCTTTAAAATAAAATCAATAAGCCTATCCTTAGGTATGGAAAAAAATGCACTGCTTTAAACTGCTAAATCTTGGGGGATACCGTATGCCACACAGCTGTGGCACTGTGATCTGCAGTAAGTATACAGAGTGGGGGGAAGTAAGATTATTGTTGTGAGTGTGTGAAACAGTTCATTCTTGTTTCCTTATTTATTACTGTATTCTTTTCCACAGGAACAACTGTAACCCTCCTTTTGCCCCACCCAGGATAGTGCGTCTTTGCCCATTTTTGGACTAAGCTGCCTTTTGTTCTGCTAATGAGGTGATTTTGGAAAGTCCCAGAGAAAGACTGGTTGCCAGGGGAACCCCCAGAGTAACTGGTCGGTGGGAGGGGTGAGAGGGCTGGAGGCTGGCTCAGTCCCCAGGGGGCGAGGGTATAATCAGTCTTGTCCGGCAGTAGAGCCTCCACCACAGCACCCGAAAGGATGGGATGCGGCTCAGGCAGCTTCCAGGCTGGGGCACTGAAGGTGGTGGTGGGCGGGCGGCACCAGGTGAGGGCCTGGAAGCCCCGCCCCTTCCCACAGCCGCCTGGGCATCCTTTCACGGGGCTGGTCCTGAGCTCAGCCCTTTCACGAGGAGCTGGTGGCTGGTGAGTTCCGGGAGCCACTCTAGGAGGGTTGTGGGAACTCTGACCGACAGCCAGTGGGTCAGGAGTGCAGAGGCAACCTGGACCTGCAACTGGCCTCTGAAGAGGGTGGGCAGTCTCGTGCGACTGAGCCCTCAGCCCGAGGGATCTGACTCTCTCTCCAGGTAGACGGTGTCAGAACTGAGTTACACTGTCGGACAACCAGCTGGTGTCACAGACACAGGCTTGGTGTGAGGGGGAACCAGACCGTGGAGGTGGTGTCAGAATCACAGCAGCAACAGGCCACTAAGAAGGGAGAGTAGTGCCAGCCACCCCAGGACTGCTGTCCAGGCCCCAGAGCAGCCAGCACAATGCCTGCCGACGGATAGGCACGCACCGAGCAGCTGTCACCGCCTATTCTCCAATGAGTGCACGTCGACCACTGCACAGGAAGAGCGCTCACCTTCAGGTTCAGACACCACAGAGCAGGGAACCACAAAGATGACCAACTGTTCAGGCTGCCGTCAGACTCACCTTCAACCATGCACAACTCCTACACCAGGACAAGACAGAGCCGGCAGCTCAGGAGCACCAAATACCAACCAAGGCAGGGCTGCAATCCCTCAGAGCAGGGAGCCCCCAGGTGCACCCCACCTTCCTCAGCTTCCTTCTAAAATAAAGCCAACACCCTGGCTGGGGTGGCCCAGGGGATTGAGCGCTGGCCTGCGAACCAAAGGGTCACCAGTTCGATTCCCAGTCAGGGCACATGCCTGGGTTGTGGGCCAGGTCCTCAGTGAGGGGCGCATGAAAGGCAACACACATGGATGTTTCTTCTCCCCCTCTTTTTCCCTCCTTTCCCCCCTTCTCTAAAAATAAGTGAATAAAATCTTTTAAAAAAATAATTAAAGTGCATGAAAACATAGGCAAAACGAGATACAACGATGCTAAGTCATTTTTCTTCCCACGTAAACGTGCAGTGTCTGTGCTGGTTAATTCTGTGTGTCAGCCTGACTGAGTCCCAGGTCCCCAGACACATCACGTTACCCTGGCTGGGTCTGCGCGGGCGGTCTGGAAGGACATGGACCGAGTGAGGCAGCCGGCCCTCCAACGTGTGGGTGGGCCTCACCCGATCAGCTGAAGGCCTGAAGAGCCCACACGGGCTGACCCTCCCCCAGTCCCAGGGAGTTCCGCCTGCCCTCGCCGTGGAGCTGAAACGCTGGCTCCTCCCGGTGTCGGCTCACCAGCCTTCATACCGGGGCTCGCCATCGGCCCCCAGCCCCCAGCCCCGCAGGGCTTGCAGCCTCCACGACCACAGGAACCCACTGTGCACCAGTCCCCCCCGCCACACCGCATCGGCTCTGCTTCTCCAGAGAACCCTGGTTCGCTACTGAACATCAGTTCTCTAAGGCATTTTAGAACTGACCGCTAACACGGTCTCATGAACAACTTCTTAGAGAAAAGCTACATGCGGCACTCCCCAACGGCATTTCAGCCAAACACCACCAAGACACAGGCCTCGTCTCAGGAACATGCTGTGTGTAATTAGGGCCAAAGACTGAGCTGAACTCGTCCAACCCCCCTCCAAACCACGCAGCTGACCCTTGAAACTGAAGACTGTTAACAGCACGTTACCCCCAAGCAAAGTAGAAAAGCCTGTTCCAAGGGGAGCAATCAACTCAAAGGCAGCCTGTCAACCCCAGCAAGCCGCCCCTCACCGTCTCCAGGGAACCCTGGGGTGCAGACCTCCCGTGGATCACCACGGAGCTTCCCCGGCCAGCCCCGGCTGCCCTGCCCCCGTGCGTCCCAGAAAACGCAAAAAACGAGCTTTTCTCAGCACCCCTGCAGCTTCGGTAAGCTGCATCCACAAAAGAGGCAGGGCCAGAAGAAAAAGGGGAAACTGTTCCTTTCAAATCAGAAATGCTCAAGCGAGAATGAAAGACCACCTCCGTCAGTCCGTCTACTTCAGCACAACGACCGAAAAGAGGACGCAGGGCGGCCACGACGTCGGCCTCACCAACAGACGCACAGGTCGCACGGGGTCACGCCTCGGTCTACCAACCTCCACTTGGCCACCCTGGGCTTCAAGAAGGTCAGGCCCAGCCGCTGCACCAGCTTCACCCCGAGTTTCCGGAGCAGGGTGTGGCTGCTGTCCGGGAGCCCGCAGCGGTCCAGGCGCTCGAGCACGGTGGCAGCTGCGAACGACAGCACACGCGCTGGGTCAGCGGGAGGGTTCGGTGCCCCCCACCCCCACCCCCCACCCCCAAAGTGCAGCACGCGTGCTCAGTGTCCGAGACACTGAACCCACAGGCAACCCCACTGGCCCTCGGAAGCAGCGACACCGACACTCACACTGAACCCCCAGCCCTGTTCCGTGAAGACCCCCTGTCCCAGGTCATGCACACCAAGCACAGCTCGAGGAGCAGCAGAGCGAGGCTGGGAGGCGGAGCAGCCCCAGGGGCAGGGAGGGAGATGCCTGCACCACAGACACGCCCGGCTCTGGGGTCTGCTCTGGGGTCTTCGTGCTGTTTGCTGCTGCTGTGCAGAGAAGCCCAGCCTCAGGCAGGGGGGGCCCCCCCACGGCAGCAGGGGTGCGGCTGCCTGCCAGGAGGAGTCTCCTGGGGCAGGAAAACGCTGCTGCACCGCTCCAGGGGACAAGGTGGGCATTGGGGGAGCAGAGGCCCCCCGCGTGGGGAGGCACCTCCCACCAGAGACAAGGAGAGCGGGCGGGGCTTCGGGACAAGGGGCAGCGGCACCTGGGTGATGCGCCGAAAGGCCCGGTGCACAGTGGCCGGCTGCAACTCAGAGCACGCGCGCACTCCGTGTGCGCGAGCCCACCAAGGACGGCACGTGAAGGTGCTGGACGCCTGCTGCTCGCTCTCGCAGGTGCGAGGGCACCGAGGACGTCCCTGCAGAGAGCCCCCAGCCGCGAGGGGCCCACACAGACACAGAGAAGCGCAGGCGTCGGGGGGTGGGGAGAAGACTGGGAGCTAAAATCCGCAGCCTAGAGCCTGGGGTAGGAACGCAGGGGCTCGCCGCACCATCGCTCTCACTGCCTTCAAGCGTGCTACAAGTTTTCCATGCGGAACACAGACTCTGCTGTGCCACGACCGGTGTGGCTCCGCGGGCTGGGAGTCCTTCTGCAAAGCGGAAGGTCCCCAGTTCAATCCCCAGTCAGGGCACATGCCTGGGCAGGGGGTTCCATCCCTGGTGGGGCGTGTACAAGAGGACGCCGATCACTATTTCTCTCCCTCTCTTTCGCCCTCCCTTCCCCTCTCTCTCTAAAAAAAAAAAAAAAAAAAAAAACTAAATAAAAGTAAAAAAAAATAGTTTTAAAAATACAACATAGACTCTACTGTTCAATCTGATTCACGCATCTTCTGAAACACAGAAACTCCTCCGGGTCCGGGGCAAACCCCTTGGCATCAAGAATCACTGTTCTTGTGTCTACAGGGTGCGGTTCAAGCTAAAGAGAAGGAGCTGGAAGGGCAGAAGGCATGGCAGCTACAGGGGACGCAGCCCTGACTGGGACCCAGGACGCGAGCGGAGACTCCAGGCTGCGTCCACAGCCCCAAGTCCCCAGAACCCAGACCTCCCGCACGGAGCCCGAAAGTCAGAGCATTAAAGCCCACGCCCACAGGAGACAAAAGCTGCAGAGCTGGGACAGCGCCCGAGCAGAGAAGTCGCAGGCCGCCGCACCCGGGTGACAGCGCCGCGGAGACCCACGCGAACACACTCAGCCGCACACGAACTCGCACCACAAACACACCCCCTCTGACAGACGGGGCTTACCGTAGGGCAAACAGTCTTCACGTTTTCCATGCTTAAATATCTGTGCCTTTAAAAAAAAAAAGTTCCATTAAAATGTTGCAGATTCATTTATGTATTTAAAACAAATTATCAAAAAAATTCTTTGCACCTTCCAGAATTTTTCTACTGAACAGCAAGAGAACAGTTTCTCTACCCGAAACAGGAAGGAATTACAGAGGCCGGAGAAGCAGCCCTTGAAAAGGGCATCACAACTAGGGGTGCGGTCACTGACGGGGGGCTTCCTCGAGGGCGTGTGCCCCCACTCAAGTTGAGGGCACCAGCCTCTCGGAAGTTTCCTTCGATCACCCGTGCGTGAAGAAGGCTGCCCAAGGACAGAAGCTGCAGGCAGGTCCGAGTGTCTCACAGGGAGGTGGGACCCAAGGCGCCTGTTCCTGGAGTCTCGCCCACTCTCAGCTGGCAATGGAGAGCAGCCCTCCTGCTGCTGGAGCACTTCTGCCCCCACCCCCCCCGCCAGCTGCGGACAGGTCCCGCCGGGCAGTGCTGGTCACCTGGGCCCAGGGACAGGTGTCCACAGGGGCCCTGGCGTGACGTCTTCGGCTCACCTATAGCCAGGGCCACCTCCAAACTCAGAGCTCGCAGCCCCTGAATCCTCAACCTGAACTCTCACTCCCCGAGTGAGTGTGGAAGACAAACGGGACGGTTCCCACGAGCACCCAAGCCCCTGAGACACAGAACCCTGGGGCTGAGACTTCCGAGACACAGCGGATCCAGGTCTCTCCCTTCAAAAAGGGCATTTAACTAGCAAGGCGGGAACTCCTTCTGCTCCGCACCACCTGAACGCACGTGGCCCTTCTGCGCGGGACTCCCCGTCCCGACGGTCCGTGAGCTGCTCAGCTGAGGGCAGCAGGACTTCCCTGATGCCCTGGTCAGCGGTGCCTCAGGCGGAGGCTCCCCCGCTCCCCACAACCAGCCTGGGCCCGCAGGGCTCAGACCGCAGGCCAGGGCTGTCACCACTCACAAAACACTGCAGCGTCTCTCGGAAACGCTCCCCCAGCTCTGCCGCCTCGCCCACCTGCGCACACACGCAGCCTCATCCCGTCAGCTCCCTTCCTGGGCCTGGACCACTCTGCAGAAAATCCGGCAGAGCCCTCGGCAGATGCTCCTCTCCCTCCCGCTCTTCCTGCCTCTGTGTCTGCACCATCCACTCTACCTCGAAACCCGCACCATCAAGAAGAGGAGGAGTCTGCTGCATGCCGCCGCCTCTCAGGGACCCGCGTACCACAGGCACAAAAGGACCCATCCCTACTGTGTGCTGGGTGCTAAAAAAAGGCAGGAGAGGACGCTGGATGCCCACGGGCCAAACCCGCAATGCCCACTTCGAGACTTGGTGAGCCGTTTGGGTCATGACAGGGAGAGTCACCTGGGCCTCTCTTCCCAGCGGAGCTTTAAGGAGCCGGAGAGCCGACTCGGCTGGATGGGCCTGGGCAGGAGTGAAACTGCCCGGGCGGACGCCCAGGGCCCTACGGGAGCGTCTGCACTGCACGCGTCTCGGTCCCCATGTGGGACAGGTGTGCGGGACCCCGGCTGGTGGGAGTGTCAGGGCAGAGTCAGCCCACGGCTCCTCGGGGCCGAGGACTCTGGGCTGCGCAGCCACAGACGGAGGCCCGCGGTGGGCAACGCCGCTCACTGCTGACCCCGGAGGCCGCGAACCCACGACTCCCGACCAGCGTGGGGCCAAGGCACCCTGCGCCCGGCAGCGGAAGATCTGAGGGGTAACTTGTCCACCCTCTGCACACACGGACTCCCGGCCTCAGGTCGAGAAGCACAGCTGACACGTGACCTGAGGTTCAAACCCCACGTGGAACGTGGAAGTGGACCCACACAGTTCAGACGCACGTGGTCCCAGAGGCATCCCAAAGACAAAGCCTGAGCCTTGAGGAGGGGTCCAGAGCAGCACAGAGCCCAGGGCAGGCAGGCGCAGCCGGCCTGGGGTGCAGGGAGAGCAAAGCAGCAGGAGGGACTGGGAGACCCCAAGGAGAACGGGGAGGGGGGCAGAGGACAAGGAGGTCCGGTCAGGCGTCATGGCCACACAGAGCCAACCAAGAAACTGACGCTGGGAAAGGGCAGGAGGGCATCACAAGCCCAGTGGGCCCATGGGGCTGGTGAGCAGACAGGTGGGGGGGGTCCCCGGGGGAGGGGGGTGCTGACGAGAAGAGGGGAGGTCCTCACGCTCCGTCTGCTGAACCTGCTGAGGGCCGAGCGCACACCGGGGAACCCTGGGCCACTCAGCTCTGCAGCCCCCTCCTGGGACCGGGCAGGGAGCCGCCTTCTCTGAGCCCCCGTTCCCTCCTCTGAGCCCCGTTTCCTCCTCTGAACCCCGTTTCCTCCTCTGAACCCCCGTTCCCTCCTCTGAGCCCCGTTTCCTCGGCACGTAAGATGGGATAATAACGAGAGCACTCGGTCCTCTGAGCCACTTTAAGAACAAGATGCAAATGAACGTCAAATGCATTCACCACAGAGGTCAGAAATGTTTCCCAAGTAAATATACATTCCTGTTTCTTGTCAGAAAAACTATTTTAAGAACTCTTCCCTAGGTTTAATGTATGTGAAATACAAAAGTCCAAATTAGTTTACCCCATATAAACTCAAATGTGTGCAGTTCAATGTGCTTCAGAGAGAAGCCGGACAAACCCTCACTGAGCAGAAACACTGGGCCCCTTCCCGCCAGGGACTCGCGGGTTTGGAGAGCGCCAGAAAGCACCACCTACAATCCCCCGAGTGGGTGGGTCACATAACATGCAGCAGAGCCCACGTGACATGCAATGAGACGCCCTGCCGTGTCAGGGGAGGGGTCGAAACAGGCATCGGTGCAGGGCAGCTCTCGTGGGAGGGCAGGCGGGCAGGTGGCGAGGACGCAGGACTCGACTGAGACAAGGACACGGGTCGACAGGTCTGGGGGGAGTAAGCAGGAGGTGTCAGACAGGCGCCCCAGATCTGTGCAGAAAGGGCATCAGTTCGGGGTGACTGTGGCCCCGGCCCAGACCAGCGCAGCTGACGCTGGTGCCCCGACCTCATGACAAACGGAGCCTCCTCCTGCCCCCACGTGCCCAGTCTGGGGAAGTCACGGGGTAACTCACCCTCTGCGGACGAGTCCCTGACGATCCTCCACCCAGAGCCAGGGCCGTGGGGTCCTGCTCGCCAGCCCCATGCACAGGTACCAACAGAGCTGGGAACAACACTGTGCCTTCAGGGCCCAGGCCACCTGCTCCCCAGACGCTACCCCTGGGACACCCCCCCTCCGGGAGCCCAGTCCTGCAGATGGTCCCCGTGCCTTCCTCAGCCCAGGCCCCTGGCATCGGGGGCAGAGACAAGCTACCCCTGGGCCCTTCCCTGTGGACCCGCAGAATCCACACAAACAATGGCTCTGTCTTAAGCCACAGCCTTGGGGTGGGTTGTTATGCGACAGATAATGAACTCCCTCCTTAGAAACCATGGAGGGACTAAAATTTCATGTTGTAGGCAAGGGGGCGACTACCCAATCCCAGGCACAGTGACACGTGTCCAGTACGTAGCTGGACAGAGTGACAGTGGCAGCAGAGTGGAGGACCCGCGGCAGGAGCTGGAACCAACAACGAGGCCTCTGCAGGTGAGCAGACAGGAGGACCTGGAGGAGGGCCGAAGGGGTGCGGAAGTGGGACAGGAAAGATCAGAAAGCACTGGCTGCTGCGCCCTCTGGGCACGCTCACTAAACAAGAACCTCCTGCTCTGAAATGCAAAAAACGCTCATGTGAGCAGTCTTTATTTGCCAAATTCCTGACATAGCCCAGAGGGCAGAAGGGGTAAGAGGAGGAACAAAAATAGATCAGAAGCAGAGCTTTGGTTTTGTTTGTGGGTGTTTCTCACCTAAAAGCAGAGCCACAGGAGGGTGGGAGGGAGCCCTGACCAAACAGGGGCCCGCCTGACAGCCCGGAGCACGGCCCACAGCACGGGAGCAGGAGACACAGCCAAGCCTGCGGAAGGCATGCCCATCCGGAAGGGACAGCACTTGGCCACCTGCACCATGCAGCTGAGACCTGCCCACCCTGCGCCGTGTTTAGAAACCAGCACAGCACAAGGTGCAACAACACGAGTTTCTCAGTGGTCATTCTAAACACCGTCCCCCCACTCCTACCCTCCCCAGCTTGCCTTTCTCAACCGGAAAACCCGGTTCCCCTCTCCAGGCATCCTCGCCCAGCCATGAATCACACTGTCAGCGCTGGTCCGAGGCTCCCTGGAGCACCACCAAGCCCAGGCCAAGAAGAGCAGCTCCAGCCCAGGCCTGGAGAGAAAAGACGCCCCCCCACCCCCCGCCCCAGCACAGGAGCCCACAGCACTCATGAGTTCTCCTTGCAAGGTGGTGCACTCTGGGCCCCGGTGGGCCCCTTGCTGCCCTGTCCTTGGTCCCTCAGGAAGACACCTGGACTGGCCAACAGGACAGAGCTTGGGCAGAGCGGGCGGCCCTGCTCTGTGCTCCTGAGTCTCGTCCTGCGGTTGAGCAGCAGTGCTGTACCCTGTCCGGACACACAAAGGGGAGGACACAGGCAGGAAGGACCTGAGCACCAAAGCAACCAGCTCCAGGCTGGACACCTCCTCGAGCCAGGCCCTCAGCCCACCCTCGCCTATGGAAAGAGCCCTCGCAGGGTCCCACCTCCTGCGGAGGGCAGCGGCTGCACAGGGCCCAGTGTCCTTGAAGCACTTCACACAGGAGCACCCAACACTCCCCCCAGAGGATCCCTTTGGGCCTCGCCAGGGGAGGGCCCTCCCACCGCTGAGGTAGCTGGGCTCTGCTGGCTGGAATGTGAACAGGGAGGGCATCAGGGCCCTGCCACCTGCCCAGGACGGAGGCCAGGTGGGTGCGCGGTCACACAGAACCCGCCTGTCCTGCAGGCAGTGCCCAGGCTGGGCTCCAGGCCCAGGCCCCAGACAGGAGCCCCAGAGACGCTCCCGAGGGGGCCAGCCAGCCATACCCAGCACCTGCCAGCCCCTTTCTCCCCTCCCCAGAGTAAGCCCGGTTTGGTTTCTCAGAAC